TAAAATCCCTAGAACTTGCCGCCATGCAGCCAGCAGGTGGACCTGATGCTACTTGGCATGCTTGTTGCCCAAAGCCCAGGACTTGCTCACTGCATGGCAGTGGTGGCCATGGCCAGAGCCCCAAGCATTGAGTCCAACCTGGCTCAGGTATCCTCAGCAGCCGCCATGCTGCCAAGGGCTCCCTTTACCCAAGCCCCATGCCCGAACTCCCCCTAGGCTCCTCCCAGCACAAGTTGGTGGCGGCAGGCTGAAGCCCTATGGTTGCCTTTTAAGATGATACGTTTATTTCAAATATTCTCATTAAAGCATGGATGTGAGTTATGGAGAAACTAGGTTTTCAAAACTTCATAGAAAAAAAACTACATAGAGAAGCAAAGATTCCATGTGGACTTGAACATCCAATTCCATGTTTAATGACACATGTACTCTGCTGGATAAAGATGCTCTTCGGTCAAACATATTTGGGTAATCTTGGGTAAGACAAAACAAAATAGATTTTTTTCCACAATTATTTTTGAGGTTACACAAGTATGATGTGAATGTACACAGTGATACTCCAGAAAGGGGAAGTGAGAGTGTATGCCAAATGTCTTCAGTGCTAGAGCCTTCTCTAAAGTGCAGAATCTTGCAAGACTAATGCTTGGCAAAATAGTTCAGAACCAACTGCTTTCTCATTCCGAATCAATGTGGTGACTAATGATATTCTGCATTTCTGTCCTGTGAGTGGGTCCCAGAGTGTCACAAGAGAGAGGATCCAACTACAAAGTTACATTTGGTCAGAAGGGATCATTTCAAAATCTTTATGCAATGTCCATGGAGACATGCTTTTCTTCTACCAAACAGCTCTCCCTGAACCTCTAACGGTAAAACTTGTGGCACTTCATTTCACAGACAAAAGAGAAGGAGAAAAGCATTATGTGCGAGTGTGTGTATATATGTGTAGAGGAAAACAGAGATGCGCACACATATGTGCAAAACTTATAACAAATGTTCAAATAATGTTCAAACTCAGCATTATAGAAAAGTAGGCTTTAAATCTTCAGCATTTTGAAAGATGTGAAAGGACTTTTTAAGTGATGTAGCTGAGGCCTGCTACAAGGAAGGGGCATGTCCAATTTCACACTACTAGCTATTATTAGACTTGAGACTGGAATTTGGGTCTTTGAACTGTTTAGCATTTAATAATTAGCAGATTAATTGATTATTCACATTCGACAAAAAGATTGTGTTCTTCAATGCTTTTTGATTCCAGCAAGCAAACCACCTTCATATGGATAAGCTCTGAGGGATCTAAGCCACCATTCCTTCTCAGCCGTTGTTTCCAACATGACGTTTTGCTGCCTGCACACCATTAGGCAGCCTGGGTTTCTCACTTCTCCAGGTCCTCCTTCAGCCTCAGAAGCTCAGATAAAGCAGTCCTAGAGTCCTGGTACAAAAATCTTATCAACCACTGTGACCCCTGTATCTCTGCTGGTATTGAAGAGAAACACTTTACTTATTGCCTAAGACCTTCCCTGGCACCTCATTCCTTACTCAGCAAATATCTATCTTACATGTATTTCTTTGAGAAGCGATTTTCTCTCTCCTACTTGACTCTAAACTCCTTGGGAGTAAGGTCTACATCAGATTTATTTTTAGTTCCCTCAGCATCTGTCATACTTTCCTGAATGTTGTATATCCTAACTAAACACTCATTGGAGGAATAAGTGAATAATGTCCAAACATGAAGGTCAGGAAAATCTTTGTGGCTATTTTCCATCTGAAGTGATGAAACCATCATAGTTAAAAGATTGATCAGTTCCTATGAAACTATAATTTACTAGCAGAGTGGATTCTGGTTCTGATTTGTGAGAGAGCCTCCACGTTGTTTCATGTTGCTAAAGTACATAAACAAGGAAGAATTTTGTACTTGAAAACTTTCCTTCTCTTTCCTTTCTTCCTCTTCTTTCTTTCTCTACTTTCTTTCTTTCTCTATTTTCTTTTTCTCTCTTTTCTTTCTCTTTCTTTTCCTTTCTTTCTTACTCTCTCTTCCCTCCCTCCCTCCCTTCCTCTCTTCCTTCCTTCCTTCCTTCCTCTCTCACTCTCTCTCTGTTTTAAGAAATCCATAGGCACTTTATAACATGCTCATCTGTACACAACCTGAAAGGCTTGTTGTACACTCTAGATTCGGTTGTGTGGCATCACTGCTCTGTCTATGGCACTTATATTCATACAATTTAAAAATGTTAGTGAGTGCAGGTTGTGTCAATTTGCACTAAATGAGAACTAGGTGGTACTATAATCCCACAATGTTCTAAACATCCATTAAAGACTCAGTAATTATCTGCTTATCTTTTTTAAGGTCCAAAGGAGAAAAAAAAACATTAATAGTTTAAAAATTCAATACCAAGGAAAAGCTACGATCCTTTTGTACTTGATAAGTTAGTACGGAGTCAGAAAATGTCCTCTGTAAAAAGCCACAGGTAAACGTGTGTGAGACTTTGTATGTTACACTCAGTTTCTGTAGCAACTACTCAACCTTACCACTGCATGAACAAAAGCAGCTGGTGACAATGGAGAAATGAATGAGAGTGTGTTCCAATGCACTTCATTTTAGATACTGAAATTTGAATATCATGTAATTTACACACACCATGAAATCATATTCTTTTGTTTTCTTTTTATCCAATCATTTGCCAAACTCTATACCAAAGGACTACATAAAAGTGCTATGTGATGCTACAGGACTTTGGCTTTCCATAAAAACTGCCTCCACTCCCATTTTATCGCCACCAGGCAGCAATCAAATGGTAATTCTTACATAAAATATCAAAAAAGAACTTGTCAGAGATAATGCAGCTGGAATAAGCCAGAACGATATGCGGACTTTTACATGTTATATGAGTCCAGAACAAAAGGACTGGATGATTCAGGGCATTACAACAAAAGGGAACTCCTAACTAGTGACACTCAGAGTGCAGTCACTATCCTTGATGAGCCTCCCAGCCAAATTTCTGAAAGGGATATTTTCTTACATATGTCTAGTTTGTTCTGTGTTCATTCATTTGGGAAACATTGGCTGGGGGTTTTACTCTATTTGGGGTCCCTGTATATTGCATGTAACTGAAATTCTCTGGCAGACATCAGACACGGCCTCTGTGTATCATGAAGCAGTAGAAGAAACTAACAACCTCAAACTCCAAGCCTATTCTTTTCACAACCAGGCTCAGACGTTCCATGTCTGAGCTGATTTCATGGAAGAGACATAAGTGTCGGTGTAGCTGAGGTTGGCCAAGTGAATCTGGTGTCAGGAGCCCAAATGAAACAGGATATTCAAACTGATACTGAGAACATCATCTTATATAATTAGTAGAAAATTTTAAACATATACTGGTCATCATGACTTAGGTTTATCAGGAGGCGTAATTTCCAATATATTTAAAAATTAAAAAGCTCCATAGTCTTTTGACCCTGGGAAACATTCCTAAAAGTTCTTGATGTTAGAATCTGCACAGTGAATGAAGAACACGTTAAAAAAACATCTGTAGGGGCAAATCCTTACAAGGAGCAAAGAGAAAACAGGCCCACCTTCTGGATACCAGAGCACATACATAGCCAAGCAGCTCTGCTTTATATGCAGACATGAAGCTATGGCCTGTCCTCGATGACAAACCCAGAGACGTTCGCCCCATCACTTTCGCAGCCCTCACCCCATCCCTTGTGGCCTAGGACATACATCTATATGCAGGCAAACTTGAAGGGAAGAATGCGGGAAGACTGTGGGAAAATCACTAATGGTCCACTCAGGGACTAAAGCTTTAGCCCTGGCCTCATTAGCAGTACCCTCTAATTTTTGGGACTTGTCAGCCACAGGCTTATAGTCGAGGAGCCTTTAGGGCATTCAGACAGAAATCAGGCTGCAGAGAAGGTTTCCACTGCAACTGAATATCCTCAGAAAAGCTACAACAAAATACATCTCCAGATTACAGATCCCTCTCTAGAGGCGATCAGAGCCTGATAGGGAATATGCTGTGGCCTAAGCAAAACAATGTTCAAAAACCATGTGCACAGTGTATTTCGGAAGATCCACGGCAGCATGGGTTTACTGGTATGATAAGTTCTATCCTAGTGCCCTGGAAAAGTTAATCCTTTTACAAAACACACATGGCCTTCTTGTCATTGGCATTAGGTGTTCTGTTTTCCCAGAAACTATTAAAATCAACGCACTGCTCATTTCTGTACCTGATATCAACTATAATGAAAGTTGGCAAATATAAACGGAACATTTAGAGATGTGTAGAGATTTCCAGACCTATTAAAACCCAGAGAAAGAGCAGGTTCTCCCTTGGTCACCTGGCTGGCAGGCCCAGTGTGCAATGGAACACTACAATAACATATCACACACCAGATGACAAGACAATTCTTAATTTAAAACTCCCTTCTAAAAGAGGCAGCATTTCTAAGGAGTATTATATTTAAGAGTGCTGTTCAGCTTGTTTATAATTTAAGAGTCTCTATGTCAGCTAAGAATTTTTTTTGCTGAATAGATTTTATGAGCTTTTCATTAACAGAAGTTTGATTCCTTGGTGCCAAGGTGCTAAACTTCCCACGTGGCTAGAAATCACTTGGCACAGTTTCAGCCATTTACATCCCTGTCATAGGTCCAAAGTTTGCAATTAAAAATGGAATCCTTTTAGCATGTGCACAGTCTAAAAGCTTGAAATATTATGTATTAAATACGGTTATAATAGAACTTGGCAGTTAATCACTGATAGAATGTATTAATTTATGTATCCTTGTTACAACTTGTGGCATTTCCTCATCAGGGACATGAAAAAAATACAGCTTAGTCCCTGCTCATAGGAGAGCATTATTCTTGCTTGGTGGTTTTCTTAAATATATATAAATTGTCATCAATACATATTGATTTAAAATCCAAAGTCTCTTTTATGACCTTAGTTTTACACGTTCATGGAGTCCATTAAAATGAAAATTTGCTACTAATAAAAACAATAACTTACTTCACGGGGTTACTCTTAGGTTTTGCCTTTTCAACAGCCTGTAAACAAAAGGAAAAAAATGCAATTAGCAATATTAGCAGGCATAATCTTTCAACTAGCTACCAAGACAGCAAGTAATATAAAATGCTCTTCGGAAACACAGGAAGCTAACTGAAGCAGGCTGCTGCAGATAAGCAGACTGGAGTCTCAGCAAGCAACTTTCCTCTCCTTGGGAACATGTTTACCTGTCTAAGTGCAGCTTTCAAATACAGCACGTATTGTTTGAGCTGCTTGCCAGGTTCATCCGAAGTGACGCAAGTGGGCTTTTAGGAGCAGAACTAGGTCCTCTTTCCCCACTTTGACTCTAACCTTACCCCATGTTGGCCCTATTCAGTTGTAATGTGAGGTAGGGAGAATGTTTGCAATAACGCCCTGGATTTTGCAATCTGTAGTGAGGAACTCTCCACTCTGGCATTACTAGTGACACCAGACCATAGTTGTGCTGTGAAACAAAGGCCAAAATATCCCAAATCATGTTTGTTAACAGAAATCACAAAAGGGCAATAAATGACCCAATGCTGAGATTAATTTCCTCCCATATAACTTTTAAGAAAATACACACCAAATCATCAAAATGAGGAACTCTCTGGGTCTCTCGGCCTGTGTCACCTTAGACGTGGAGCCTGGTTCTAGTTTATTGCCGAGTTCATTGATCTGTGTACAGTCCATTTCTCATTCATGAAAGGAGCTCGTGATTGTCACAGTATATGAGAAGGAACAACTGAGATCATCTGTCAACAGCCCTCTCACTTCTGTTTCCCTCTCCACAGGGATTTCATCTCCTTCCATTCTTCTGGAATTAAAATGTTGCTAAGCAACACAGCTGGGGGCGCTGATGGCAGAATGGCTACATTCTATCAAACTGTTTAAGCACCTGGAGGGTTTTAAGGATGATTTTTTTTCATACTTCTGTGGAATAATTATGTAATCAGAACCAAACCTGTACTCTCCTAGATTGTTTAACGCTATAGGAATAACATTTAATGAGTAGAAAATTGAAGCAGCCATTTGACAACCCTTGGGTTGTTCAGACATTCTTAAAACCATTCGTTAGGGCCCTGGTCTATATTTGTGAGTTGTAGAGATGAGTAAAGGCTTAAGAGGAGAAGAGAACACTGTCATAAGTTACACTGCACTTTGAACAGAGAGAATACACAAACACTGGACTTCACATTTTCCGTGACCAGTATCACTCAGCGCACCGATCCCCTCTGTGCACAGCAACTCAATTAAGTAAAAGCAATTAAAAAATAAGTGAGACACTTTCTAAGCTTACATGTTAGTGTTGGAAACTCAAGTCTTTCTCATTTATTAAACCCACTAGTGAGTGATTAGCCACTTGGGATTGATTGGTCAAAATCATTTCCCACCGTGTGTGAGGTTGACTTTTGGAATGTGTTACTAAGAAAGCTGGAAACTGAGGTAATAAGTGAAAATTAGAAAACAAATAAGTGGCTTTCTCAACTCACCTCTTTTATGTATCTATGATATGAAATCCTATCCGTGTGCAAGCCAATGTAGTGGTGTTAACATCACTCAGGAAGCAAGGAACGGTGCTAGCAAAGAGCGGCAGGCTGGCCATCACTAGGGGTATGTGGTCTGTCGGCACATGCACTCATCTCTGTGCCCCTGTCACTCTCACATTTTATCACTTGTATCCCTCATACCTTGCTGTTTTGGGAAAAGCTACTGTAGTGAAACAAAAACATGCCACTGTGGAAATCACATGAATTTACTTTTTTTTCAATCCATTAAAACCCAAACAAATGTGCAAGGTGCGGTAGCCTACTGGCTAAAGCCCTTGCTTTGCACACTTAGGGTCCCATATGGCCACTGGTTCATATCCCAGCAGCATCGCTTCCCATCCAGCTCCCTGGTTGTGGCCCGGGAAAGCAGTTGAGGACGGCCCAAAGCTTGGGACCCTGCACCCGTTTGGGAGACCCGGAAGAGGCTCCTGGATCCAGGTTCTTAGCTTCAGATTGGCACAGTTCTGGCCGCTGCAGGTACTTGGAAAGCTTCTCTGTCTCTCCTTCACTATATAAATCTGACTTTCCAATAAAAATAAATAAACCCTTAAAAAAAAACCTGAACAACTGTTTCTTAGAAGACTTGAGTCATCACAAGCAGATGCTGTTTTCAAGTGGTATCCTTTTAAAGCATGTTGGAAGTGACACGATGAGCATGCCACTGGCAAAAGATGGGAGCTGAGAAAGTGACATTGCTTAGCCTAGTTTTTATTCTGGAACATGCCTTTTGAAAACACCCTCTTTGCTCCATGCCTTGTAGCTGTCAATTAGATCTAGTTCTTTTTTCTCTGACCAGGAAGAGCACATTCATGATTCTTTGAAACATAGATCTTTTTATTTAGCCATCATAGGAAAATAACTCATTCAAGTTAATTTTTCTATGTTGCTTAGCTATTGATTGAAAATAGCTATGCTGAAAGGATTTCTTTGGAAATTAAGCTGTGATCATTCTGACATCCCTACAGCACTAGTCAGATAGAAGTATTCAGGGAGAAGCTCCTAGATGACGAAAGCTCATGAATTGTGTAGTTGGACTTTGTTTTAGGAATGTAAATAAGGAATTATTATTATACTAAGAAGCTTTGAAGAAAAGTTTCAAAGTGAATTATTTACAATAATATATGCCTTTAAGGTATAAGGGTTATTCTACAAAACACACAAGAATAAAATTTCTCTGTTGAAGTGACAGGATGTGAGAAGACAATCTCAGTTTCCAAATACATGTACCATACTATAAAACATGCTAAAGAAACAGGCAAATTAAAAGGAAATGACAGTGTAATTCACTAAGCATTAAGTCAACCACAAGTTGGAATTACAGCTCTGTTTGAACCTCAAAATATACATCAGAGGCTAGACATTTACATTATTTTGCATTAATTTATAATATCTATTTGCTTTTTAAAGACTTACTTTGTGTTCTTATTGTATGTGATCCTAACACATTGATCTCATCACTGAGGAAGCCCTAGCACAAATAATGGTGCTAAAAGGTGTTACAATGTGAAAGAATGCACTCCCATTTCATTTGATGACAGGCAACAGGCTATGGTGGAAAGTCACTATACAAAAAGTAGAAATTTGGATTCCATTGCCAACTCTTCCACTTACAGAACTGTCAAAGCACTTGCACTTCTGAATCTGTTTTTTCACTTGCAAAATGTATATGATCATTCCAGCCCTTTCTATGTCAAGGGATGTTATGAGTAGCTATCACTAACAATAGTTTTCCAGAAACCTCAGTATTCCACACCATCACACTCTATCTCTGTCATGAGCATTTTCCACACGGTTAATGGGTTTACTGAACAGCGGTCTGGTTGCAGTATCAAACCTAAGTAGTGATTTCAACAAAGGTTACTGCAAATCACTACTTCTGGAATGAACAGAAAACTTCCACCTGTGAAGGCCAACATGTGGAAGACTTCTATGTGTTTCGATGGTATTCCCATGCCTATTGCTCAGCAGAATATGGTCTCATAACATAACATCAGGCGTTTCGCATTAACCCTGGGAGTTTGTGGTCAGAGGGCAGGGAGCGAGAGGTGAGCATGCGCAGCAGAGATGCCTGTGCACACAGTAAATTGTTCCCCACTCCGCACTCTCCAACCGACTTTTTTCTCTAACCCTGGGATGATCCTTCTTGTTTTCTGGTGCTCCTTCCTTTCGTAGCTCTCCCTTCACACCTCACTCCATCAAGGCTAAAAGGGTGGGGCAGTCCCGAGTATCCATGCATCTGTGGCATCATGAGAGTGTCAGAGAGAAGGCACTTCAATGATTCCAAGGAGTACTTATAAGTTGATTTCTCTCTCATAACCAGCACGGCACTTTTTGAGATATCCTGATGTGAGCAAATTTATTTCCTCTAGAGGAATGATGTGGCTATGGACAGACTCACAGTTGCTCACCCATTAAATTCATAGTCCTCAAAACAGGAAGAAATTGTCTTTCTTTTATGTGGTGAAACTTTATGCTGCACTGAAGCTAAAGTGATTCTCAGTCAACATTGGGTTAACAGACCCATATAATGTAGAGGTAGTACCTAAAAGAGCTGGAAAAAAAGAAGGATGGGAAGTTAGTGCTATGGTGTGCTAGGCGAAGTCTCTGACTGTGGTGCTGGCATCTCATATAGGTGCCAGTTCCTATCCCAGCTGCTCCACTTCTGATCTATATCCTTGCTTGGGAAACCAGCAGAGGATGGCCCAATGTCTCGGGACCCTGTGCCTGCGTGAGACACCTAAAAGAAGCTCCTGGCTCCTGGCTTTGGATCAGCTTGGCTCTTCTAGATGTTGAGGCCATTTGGGGAGTGAACCAGTGGAAGGGAGATCTTTTTCTTTGTCTCTCCTTTTTGTCTGTAAATCTAACATTCAACTAAAATAAATAAATGTCTGAAAAAGAAGCATGCAAATTAAGTCGCTGTCAGGGAGCAGATTAAGCCACTCCTTGTGATGTTGACATCTCATATGGGTGTGCTGGCTGGAATCCTGGCTATTCCACTTCAAATACAGCTTCCTGCCAAGGAACTTAGGAAGGCAGCAGAAATGGCCCAAGTGCATGCAGGATTTCCACTGTTGTTGGAAATTAGCATGGGTCCCAGATTCCCCTGGCTTTGGGCTGGCACCAGACCTGGCTATTGTGGCTGTTTGAGGAGTAAACCAGTAGAGAAAGATCTTTCTCTCTACCCCTCCCTCCCTTTAAACTAATTAACTCATCAAATAAATAAACCATTTTAAAATGAGGTAGCCATCTATTGAGACCCATCCACTGTAATATAGGAGAGATCACATTTCATTCTTTTTACATTTAATTTCATTTATCTGATTAGAAAGCATATTTTTATTTGAGAGGGGAAGGGAAGGGTGTAGAGAAGGAGATAGAGGCTGAGAGAGATACAGAAGAAGTGGGAGACAGATGGAAGGGGGCAGAGAATAGTCCCGCTTTCGGGTTCTCTCCCAACTACCTACAATGAGTGA